CAGAGTTGGACCCGCTGGTCCCGCTGTAAGTGTCTCACTGTCCGGCTCTTAAGACCTGTTATATAAGAAACAATATGACCTCTCAATGTGTCTCTGTAGGGAGCTGCTGGACCCCCAGGACCCGGAGGCCCCGTTGGCAAAGATGGCGCAAGGGGAGCTCGTGGTGAGACTGGTCCCGCCGGTCGTCCTGGTGAGCCTGGTGCTGTTGGAATCGCTGGACCTCCTGGTGAGAGAGGATCCCCTGGTTCGGATGGTGCCCCTGTAAGTAAAAGTGTTATTGAGCCATCGTTAAAACAAAAGGTGGGTTCTCCTTTATCCGCTTGAACTTACCCACTGCGTCCTTTACAGGGTGCCGCTGGTGTGCCCGGACCCCAAGGTATTGGTGGACAGCGTGGTATTGTAGGTCTCCCTGGACTGCGTGGAGAGCGTGGTTTCGCTGGTCTGCCTGGACCTGCTGTAAGTGTTCCCTGAGAAATGATCTCTGACCATTTTTAAATTTGTACAAATTCTCATAACTATACGAAAATGTTCTGATTCAGGGTGAGCCTGGAAAGCAGGGACCTGGCGGACCCGTTGGTGCCCGTGGACCCCCTGGACCTGCTGGACCCCCTGGACTCTCTGGCGCTCCCGGAGAGGCTGGCCGTGAGGTATGAGCTGCTTTCTGCTCTCTCATAATTGAATTCTGGTCACTTCAGTCTATTGAACATAGCTAGCTTGTCTACTTTGCAAAATAACATGAAATGGTCAATCTTCTACAGGGAGCTCAAGGACACGATGGTGCCCCTGGTCGCGATGGAGCTGCTGGCCCCAAGGTAAGCAATCGATATTAAAATTCAATTTTTGAAACATTATAAAACAGATCATATATGCTGAGTTGTCTCATTGTCTCACTGAATGTTTCCCTGATAGGGAGACCGTGGTGAGTCTGGTATTGCTGGACCCCCAGGACCTCCTGGTGCTCCTGGTGCCCCTGGAGCTGTTGGCCCCTCTGGCAAATCTGGCGATCGTGGAGAGCCCGTATGTCTTGCCCTCACTGACAATCTCATTGTCCTCTGATTTTCCAGTACTCCAACATTTTTACAATTCCTCATTTCTAGGGTCCCGCTGGCCCCGCTGGTCCTGCTGGCCCTGCTGGTGCCCGTGGTCCTGCTGTAAGTTCCCCACTTCTTTTTCTTTTTTGTGTGGACATGAAATGGTAAATCAACTTGACATGTCCATTGTTTTGTCTAAAAGGGACCCGCTGGAGGTAAGGGAGACAGAGGAGAGGCTGGTGAGGCTGGAGAGAGAGGCCACAAAGGACACAGAGGATTCACTGGCATGCAGGGTATGCCTGGACCTGCTGTGAGTACCAGTTTGTACCCGTTTCATGAATCACAAAACTCCTGGATGGACGGCTTGGTTCAGTCTGTGCTGATTTCTTGACCTATGTCATAAGATTCGCTTTGCATGGCTGCTTCTTCTGATTCCAGGGAACCTCTGGAGAGAGAGGACCCGCTGGAGCCAATGGACCTGCTGGACCAAGAGTGAGTATAATCTGTATTAAAAGTGTGCTGGTCCCGTGCGGTGGCTACCAGATTGCTTCAGATGCAGACTAATGTTTTCTGCTCCATAGGGACCTGCTGGATCTACCGGCTCCCATGGTAAGGATGGCATGAACGGTATGCCTGGACCTATTGGACCTCCCGGCCCTCGTGGTCGCAATGGAGAGATGGGACCTTCTGTAAGTTTCTTCCACATTTGAACTTTCACCTTGAATGTGAGGGGTTTCTAAGCTCCTGTTACGTCTTCCAGGGTCCTCCTGGACCTCCCGGACCTCCCGGACCCCCTGGTGCTCCCGGTGGTGGATTCGACTTCATCAGCCAGCCTATTCAGGAGAAGGCTCCCGATCCCTACCGCTCTGGCCATTACCGCGCTGACGACCCCAGTGTTCTCCGCGATCGTGACATGGAGGTCGACACCACTCTGGAGTCTCTGACCAAGAGAATCGAGAAGCTCAGCAGCCCCGACGGTACTCAGAAGAGCCCCGCCCGTATGTGCCGTGATCTGAGGATGTGCCACCCTGAGTACCAGAGCGGTGAGTGGGCATTCCAAGCCCCTTTGAAAAATAACTCATGCACTCGATAGTGGTCTGACATATAACCCGTCCTCTCCAGGCACCTACTGGGTGGACCCCAACCAGGGCTCCCCTCTGGACGCCGTCAAGGTCCACTGCAACATGGAGACTGGTGAGACTTGCGTCTACCCCAGCCAATCCACTGTGCCCATGAAGAACTGGTACATGAGCAGGAACCCCAGAGACAAGAAGCACGTCTGGTTCAGCGAGTCCATGACCGGTGGATTCCAGGTAAGCGGACCGTTTGGTTTACTTTTTTGTCCAAGCACGTGCACACTGAGACCTTGTCGATGACAATATCTTCTACAAACTCCACACAGTTCCAGTATGGCACCGATGGAGCTGATGTTGAGGATGTCAGCATCCAGATGACCTTCATGCGTCTGATGGCCAACCAGGCCTCTCAGAACATCACATACCACTGCAAGAACAGCATCGCCTACATGGACTCAGCCTCTGGCAATCTCAAGAAGGCCTTGCTGCTCCAGGGCTCCAACGACGTGGAGATCAGAGCCGAGGGTAACAGCCGCTTCACATACAGCGTCAGCGAGGACGGCTGCACGGTAAGTCCCGGACTAGTTTCAGATTTCAAATGCAAAACGTGAAGGCTAATGTTTCTGAGCATTTTTTTTTTTTTTTTTTTTTGGTGGGGGGGTTCCATCCACAGTCACACACTGGCTCATGGGGCAAGACAGTCATCGACTACAAGACATCGAAAACATCCCGCCTGCCAATCATTGACATTGCTCCCATGGATGTTGGTGCCCCTGATCAGGAATTTGGCGTCGAAGTTGGCCCTGTTTGCTTCTTGTAAAAAGGAGAGGAAAAAAAAGGAAGAAATATGGACATGACATTGTTGTTTTTTTTCTAGCAGTCATCTCTAAAAATCCTATTTCCTATGCATTCAAAACTCATTCGGCCACCATCAGTCCACACGCTTAAAACCACTCCGCTGAAGACAACGATTTTTGTTTTGTTTCCAATCGTGAGACGTTTCTGGACTGCCACTCCACAAGGACACTTTAAAAAAAAAAAAAACGAGAAAAAAAACTACAACAAATCTTGTTTGTTTCCAACGGCAACAAGAACATGATATTTGCTTGTGTAAAATGTCTCCCTTGGAGTTTGAGAAAGAAAAAAACACCTATTATCGCAATGAAACGCAGGTGACTTTTGCCGTTTTTCGCCCCAACTGCGGAAGGACATTAAAAAACAACAAATGATATGTACCATTTTTTCCTGGTGTTAAATAAATTGTAAAAAGTGTGACGTGTCTCCTTGTTGTAAAATTGTCCCATCAGAACTCCAAAAAAGTGCACCTTCATTGCTTTGATGGCTACCTCATAATAAGAAGTCACCGCCATGTTTTTTTGTTTTCTTAGAGGAAAAGGGGCACATTTTACACGACAAGCTTATCGGGGAGCATGCAAACACATCGAGGTGCTATAGAACCAACTCAACGAGGTCCTTTTGTTGTGATAGTGAGACATTCGCTGTCATACTGTAATTCTGACCACTCGTATGCCCGTGGAATTCTTTGGTGCTACTTAATTGACTCATTGTCTTGTTGTCTTGCCGTGCAATTGTTTTTTTATAAATGCATGTCAATGTGGATAAAAACAAAAGTGACCATTTAAATTTCCATCTCTTGCCCGTTGTTGTTCTTTATCTGTCTCATCTTCACTAAAACAAAAACTAGCACACATCTCCCACCCCGTTGTTTATGTTGTTTGTTTTGTTGTCTCAAGAAGAAGAAGAAAAAAAAAAAACAACAATCCGGAAGCAGACCCACTTTCATGGTTGAAAAGGAGAGATTGTGTACTTGTGTTGTACATGTATAATAAATCAAGATGTTTTTAATTATTTTTGCTGGGTGCTGAAATAAAGCATGTGAAGTGGTTCTACTCAATGGCCGACTTTTCACTGTCCTGTCTTGCAACTGTTGTGCAAACCAAAATGGCTCACCGGCTTTACGCATCATGCGTCTTTATGGGTGAAAAGTCAGTATCGATATCGCCGAGTGGCAACAAAATCTCCACAGCAGTTGCACTTGTGGTTCCCACGAGCAGTGAAAACAAAGCCCGCTCTTTTCTGTTTCCACTCATCCATTTTCGAAACGACTTGTCCTCCCTAGGGTTCTGGGTATGCTGAAGTCTTCAAGATGGCTTTGGGCCGGTGGGGTAGGGTACACCCGTGACTGGTCACCAACCAATTGTCGAGCACGTGAAGACACTCATTCACACTACGATGGGCAATTAAATGAAGATAAATCGGATTTTGGGAATGTTGGAGGAAGCCGGAGTACCCAAGCACAGGAAATACAATCAAGTGGCAAACAGGAAAACTGAAGCTGAGACGAATACTCTGAGCCTCAGAACTATGAGGCAGACATGCGAACAACTACACCGTGCTGCCTTCCCTCCCCAACCCCCATTTCATCCCACAAAAAATGATAAATTTTGAGGAAATGTTACTAAAACAAAAATGCACTTACTAGCATTAAAACACACAGAGCACTTTATTTCTTAAACCCTTTGGACCTGGCAGTGTCAAAATGACAAGCTACTCAGGCGTCGACAAGTGGACTGTAAGCTCAATAAGCGGTCGGGGTAAACTGAACATAAAATTAGGAGCGTGTATATCTTATTATGTGCATATTAACTTCCATCCTTTTATCTTCTATACTGCTTATCCTTACTAGAGTCAGAGGTGAACAGGCGCCTATCCCAGCTGGCTGTTTGTCTACGTGTGCCTTGCGATTGGCTGGCAACCAGTTCAGAATGTACCCTGCCTACTGTCCGAAGACAGCTGAGATAGGCACCAGCATGCCTGTGACCCTCACGAGGATAAGCGGCTCAGATACTGGATGGATGGATGCTAACTCTTCGAGCCAGTACCAAGTCCAAAAATACATTGAAAAATAATATGGGCCCACCTAAATGACGGGACACAGGATAAAACTATGAATTACACTATTACTTTGTTTTTCAACTCAATTCAAGATAGCCGACAACACTCCAATTTGTAAACGGTCAAAATGTCAGACCAGGGCATATCAACTTTGTATTATTCCTAATATTGTAACAAATGTATGAAATGACACATTGACGTTGAGAGAGAAAAACACTCACAAATGCAAAGAGCACACAACAGATTTTGTCCTCGTGGACTGCCGCACCGTCAGCGCTCTTATTTCCTATGGAGGCAAAAACATGTGATGACTTTGAAGAATCAAATCGGATGCAAACGCATGTGAGTGGAAGTCTCACCTTGGCAACGTGTCGACATTGGGGTCGCTGCAAAGAGACAACAAATTAGATGGGAAATTCGCTTTACTTTATAAATAAAAAGCGTAAAGAAAAAGGTTCTTACTGCTGGGCCATGATGAGGGGCATGCGGGGACTGTCGGGGGGCGTGGCCCGGGCTCCTGTGCGGCTGTCGAACATTGGCAACGTGGAGCGCGGCGGGGGGACACCTCGGTGGTTCGCCATGCTCCTCAGCTCATCAGTGTTGTCCAAAATGGTGTGGTGGTGATACAGCTGGATCCTGTGCCACAGAGTTACAGTGTCAAAGTTATTAATAGTAAATTTCATCGCCATGAGCTTTTTACTTACTGGTTTGTTTTTGCGTTCCTCTTGTCACTGTAAGAAAGAAAAAAAAAATCATATTTTGTCATTGATGGGTCCACAAAATATGTTAATGTGTGCGGTGCAGTTGAGAACGTACACGCCTTCGCGACGTCCACACATGATGTAGGAGAGCAGCAGACACAGGATGACGGCCAGCACCAGCGGCACAATGACAGTCACGATGTAGTCCGGCAAAAAGTCCCGGTCCTCGGGGGACTCCAGTGGCTCAAAGTTTTCACCGGCTTCCAGCACGCCTGAGCCCAAGGTGGGAGCCGGCAAGGTTGCTTCCAGTTGAGACAGATCGAACTAGTTCCAAAGAGAATTTAGGAAATACAATGCTAAGAGTGACATGCTAACATATGGCAATGCGGCATCCAGAGAACAGAAAGCACTCAGGCAGATCCATAATAATTTAACATGGTGCCCTGTAGTTGTTTCTTATGAGAGTTTATTAGATAAGTTTATTAGTAACATGTAAGTAGTTGACATGCAAACATTTGACAGAATAATCAGTGAAGCCCAAAGTCGAACCTGCCTGCAGGTCTTCCCAAGAACAACAAAATGGTCTCACCAGCTCAGTGCTGCACCAGCTGATACAGTTGCTGGGGATGCTGCAGAAGTTGCACTCCCCAGGAACCTTGACCTTGGCACCCGTCGCACACTGCCGCTGATGCTCCGGCGTCTGTGCCTGCAGGAGGCAGGCAGAGAAGTTCTGCTCCGATCCGGCCTTCACGTACACGCTGGCACAAGGGTGGGAAAGGGAGTTCAACCGACCACCGCCAGGAAAAAGGCGACTCAAACACAATGCGGAGTTACCCTTCAAAGTGTCCCGCCAGCGGGAGCGGCACGCGGCCGCCACGGTCCAGAGCATTGGAAATGTTGACAATGTCCAAGGCCTCCGTGTCCCATAACTTCTGCAGGTCCTGCTTGATCTCATCCTGGACCGTAGGGGGCAGCACCTTCTCAATCTCTCGCAGCTTGATGAAAAACTCAGCTTGATAGGGTGGGCTCTTGGCTAAGTGGGGATGGGAGATGTTAGCATGAGGCTGGTGAAAGTACAGTGACTTACCAATACCCCCACTTACAAGTTTTTCAAGTGATCTGTTGCTCGGTTGATTATTTTATTTTTTTTTTTTGCTTTGTGTCGTGAGACAAAATTTGGGATACGGGCCATCTTTTTGCTATATTGCGATCATGACATAATGGTAGTAGAAGCTTGGTCTTGGAATTAATTAATCTTGTAAGCAAAGGTACCACTTAATATCAAATACAACCTTTTTGTACCTGCAATCACGTTAAGGACGAGAATCTGCCTGGTGGTTTCGTAGCTTCGCTTGTTGATGGCGTAAATCTGTCCGAAATGAGAGAACAACAATAGAAACTGTTCTTAGTGAGAGAAAGTCAACACCGTTTTTTTACCCATTTCCCCACAGACATCAAAGTTTACCCCAAAAAACGCATTTAGCAATTAGCTGCCTTAATAAGTCATATTTTAGGAAAAAAGGTAGCATGATTTCCACCATTTTTTTATTTCCTTGGCAAGTGTTTTTTGTTATTTCAGAAGGGAAAAAGTCGCAGTAGTTCATTCACATTGCATACTCAATGACTCTTCCCAAAGACACTGTATTTTCCCCATTCTCGCAAACACATAAAAGTTGAACCCAAGTAATGCAGTTCAGCAAATCTCAAGACAAGTTCGAGAAATGACCTATTTGCAATTTTGAACTCATAACAGAGATACAGATACCTCGATGACACTCTTCCCGGGAGATGTTGGGGTCCCGTAGAGAAAGCCATTGTCGTAGGGGTGCCTCTGGGTGAAGCGCAGCCACTCTGGAAGATCTGGGAAATACTGCTTGTTGCACTTGAACACCATCGGGTCGTCATACAGGTGCCCCACTGTGCACAATTAAAAAAACAACATAACAGTACAAAAACTTGCTCACTCGGACACAACATTGGGCACACCAAAACACAGGGCGCGTTCTTACGGTAGAGCTGGGACAGTGGCTCAAAGTCACTCTGGAACGTCTCCCTCATCAACTCGTAGGAGAAAAACTTCCCTGCCGGGATGTTGAATTTGATCTCCGCGTGAGCCACGCTCACAACTGTTGCATGTTCAAATAAAACAGAAAACCTGACGTGAGTGAAATAAACAAGGTAGCACAGCGATGGGTGGTACACGTTATAGGAAAGAAAAAACTTGCCTGTTAAAAAGAGAAACCAGCTCCTGCACCCTGCCATCTTGTTTTGGCCTGTGACTGACAGCTGCAAGTGCACAGTAAGAAAGACTGGCCAGGGTTATTTTGGTCACTCCCGCCTCCCAATGACATCCAGACAGGCGGCACATTTCTGTCTGGTAATGAGCTTGAAAACAAATAGTTAAGACATACAATTTTATATTTGGAAAATTTGTAATTTTGGTGGTGTGCCATTGTCACAAAATTAAAATGGTGTGGAGTTTCTCAAGTGTTTCACACTCTACAATTCGTTCAATTTCAAATGAGACCAAATTTTGTAAAAAAAAAAAATGATTGGCAAAAATTTGAATAATTCAGAGACTCTTGTGGCAATGGGAGAACAATAAAATCTGATTTTTAGTGTATATGAGTAAGAAAACCAGTGGATTCACGCTTGAAAAATCTGGACAACATTGCCACCTAGAGGCCAGAAAGGGCAATTATGGTCTTTTAAAGTGAAGTTGGTGAATTTGGTGGCCTCCCATTGCCACAAAATTTAAATGGCGTCAAGTACCTCACCTATTTCACACTCTACCACTCGCTAGCTTTCAAACGAGTCACATTTTGAAAACGCAGATTGGCAAAAAAATTTGAATAAATTATTTTCAAAGTGTGCAACTTTTGCGTTTTCAACGCCAAGGTTGACACTAATGAGGGGAATTGTTCATGTGATCCATTTTAAATTTAGAAATTCTTTAACACCACAAATGAGTCATTTGAAGCTTAGTGACAAATAAACGAAAGAAGAAAACAAACAAAAAAATTGTACTATGCGTCAGTGTGAAATAAGCATGTTTCGTCAACGGTGCTAGGACCCAGCGGATCCCTCTCCCCCATGCAACAGCGGCTCTCCGCTCACGGAGGAGGACCAGGCAGAAATCTGCTGCTCGCCGCATGAGGAGATCGAAATGATGCTGCCTTTAAAAAGGGATTAAAATGTAAGCAATCTGTCGTCAGCCGCGCTAAAGCCGCCGTATCTCATCGCTGCTCTACTTTCTGCGTTCAATTGTCATTTTAAGGATCGCGACAATCGCGCAAGTGTCACCATTGCAATTTCGCGCAAGCTAATGACAGATGCATCGTGCCCACTCTCTCCATAGCAGTGCATCAGAGCTGCAGCGAGGTGCATGCAGGCCTTTAATGCGATCTGTTGTTTTTGTCTCGATCCACCTGCCCCGCTAGCCTGAGCGCATCAACCGGCCGCCGGGGGATAAGAAAGCTTTGCCAGTGGGGGCGAGGGAAGACATGCCGTCGCAGAGCATCCGTCGCGACGCCTGAGCGAGCCACCATGATGAAGACGGAACCCACCCCCAAGAGCGCCGGCTCCACGCTCAGGAGCCCATCCCCGCACAGGAGCGCATATGAGGCGGGGATGCAGGCCCTCAAACCCGTCGCCGACAACGCAGTCAATGGCGACGTGCAGGACGGCCCTCGGGGTCGTCGGTACGGCTCCAACGTTCACCGCATTAAGAACATGTTCCAGCAGCTGCAGACCACCACAGCCGACACAGAGACCGAGGAGGGTGCCAAGGGAGGGGACAAAGCTGTGCGCCTCTCCCTCCCCAGGGCCGGTAGCCTGAACGAGAACGTGGACCATAGTGCGCTGCTCAAGCTCGGCTCTACAGTATCTGAACGCGTCAGCAAGTTTGACACCAAGCCCGAGAATGGCCACCAGCGAGCTTCGTCGCCCAGCTACTCCAAGCTGCAAGAGACGCGCCGCATTTTCGAGCAGCAGCAGCAGCAGCAGCAGCAGCAGCTGCAGCAAGAGTAGCAAGAGAAGCTGGCCACCACCAGGGTTCTGCTCAAAGCAGACAAGACCCCGGGCCTACAGGAGGGTAGGCTAGACATGATGGCCCGCTTCAACGGCAGCACAGAGTCCCTGGACAGCCTGGATGCTAGCGAGGCCGTGTCCCCCACCGTCAGCCAGCTCAGTGCTGTCTTTGAACGGGCAGCCGAGCTTCGGAATAACCTCAACCGGCTCTCATCTACGCCGCCGCTCCCCTCCAGAGGGGTCAGCACCAAGGTGGGCGTGTTGAACTCCAAAATAATCACCAAAAGGGCAAGCGCCTTGGCGTCCAGCAATCAGGGGGATGACTTTGCCGGTCAGCAGGACCAAGAGGGGCCTGCGAGGAGCCTCCGCAGGGGGGCCGGTCCGACCGAGACCATAAACGGGGGTCAAAAGCCAGAGGCGGAGCAACACAGAGCGAAGACCGTGTCCGATGCTGGCGTGGAGGCCAAGGCCGAACATCTTGAGGAGTCCAGCATGGTGGCGCACTTCGAGAACGGAGATGCCATTTCTATGGGGCTGAAGGCGGCGGGTGAGGACGGCCGGACGCTGAGAGACGGCGGAGATAGCCAGGAGGAGGACGATGACGATGACCGCTACGAGGCCGAGTCCAGTTGTGTCGAGATTGCTGGGCTCCCCATAGAGGAGGAACCGCCCCCGTCAAGGAAAATCCGCTTCAGTGCCGAGCCCATCAAGGTGAGTCAATGATGGCATTTGCTCTTCATTGGCAGAACCGTATAAGTCATTGGTCTCAAGGTCCTCAAGGGTCTTGCATGTCTTAGATGTTTCCCAGCTTCACCATGATCATCAGCTCATCAGCAGAAGAAGGTCTGATCTGTCCAACATGGTCCTTACTCTCATCTGGCCTTAGGAGGAGGGGAGTGGGGGGTTCAGGCCTTGCTTGCAAATCCCGGCACTCCATGACAGTTTTTTGCTTCGCGAAGCGACAG